AGCAGCTGAAAATCCATATTTTTACTACGCAATTCAATTGGATGTAGATGAGATGATTACTAATATTTTTTGGGTTGACCATGAGATGATTACAGATTATGAGCTTTTTGGTGATGCTGTATCATTCGACACAACATTTCAAACAAATAAGGAGTATCGGCCATTAGCTTTATTTACTGTCTTTAACCACTTTAGAAAGACAGTGATTTTTGGTGTCTCGTTATTATATGATGAAACTACAGCTTCGTTTGAGTGGTTATTTGAAACCTTCTTGCATGCAATGTCGGGGAAAAAGCCTACCAGTTTTTTCACAGACCAAGATCAGGTAATTACAAAGGCAATATCTGAAGTCATGCCCAAGGTTTTCCATGGATTATGTACTTTTCACCTAATGCAAAATGCTTTGAAGCATTTAGGATACTTGTATAAGAGTGGTTCAAAATTTGGTAGTGATTTCAAAACTTGTATTTTTGGATACGAGGATGAACACGAGTTAATTGATGCTTGGGATTCTTTGATTGATAAATACAACTTGCATGAGAATGCGTAGATGAAGAAGACTTGATTGATGCTTGGGATTCTTTGATTGATAAATACAACTTGCGTGAGAATGTGTAGATGAAGAAGACTTGGGAAAAAAGAGAGCAGTGGGCGCACGTATACATGAAATACTTGTTCACTGTAGGAATGCGAAGCACTCAACTTAGTGAAAGCCTGAATGCAGCATTAAAGAGGTATTTGCAAGCTGATCATAATATTGTTCAATTTTTTACCCACTTCAATCGGATTGTTGTAGATAAGCGGTACGAAGAAGTAAAAGCTATATATAATTCTAGACAACAATTGCCGAGAATGAAATTGAAAAAGTCTCCTATGTTGAACCAAGTTGTGAATTTGTACACCCCTCCTATCTTTGACTTATTTCATAATGAGTTGGACATGTCTCTTTGTTGTTGAGTGAAGCAATGCCATGAGTTAGAAGGAGAAGTTCGATACGTGATTAGCTTGTATGGTGATGATAGAGAGTATATTGTGGAGGGTAATATGGAAGTTAATGAGTTAGGAGAAGACAAAATTTGTCAAAGAATTCATTGCACTTGTCAAAAGTTTGAAAACATTGGAATTTTATGTGGTCATGTAATTAAAGCACTTGATAAAATGAATGTTATGGAAATTCCTGAGAGGTACATATTAGGTCGATGGAGATTAGATGCCAAGAGTGGTGAAATTAAGGGAGGAAAAGTTGAAGTGGGTGAGAATGATCCCTAGTTAGAGACATTAACACGTTACAGGGATCTTTGTCCTAGAATGGTAAAGCTAGAAACTCAAGCATCTGTGTATAAGCCTGCTTATCAATTGGTTGATGAAGGGATTAAGGAATTGTGTACAAAAATGAATAAAATGATGGTATCATTTGATGATTCGAGTGCTTGTGGTAGTGGAAGCAACATTGACATGAGTTCTAATCCTAACTTTGCACGAGTTAAAGGCTTCAAAAAAAAAAGAAAGTGGATAGAAGGGTGGGGGTAGATTAAAACCTTGGCATGAGAAGACTAATAAGAGGACAAAAATTATTTCACAACCTACCGACCGTAGTAAGGTATTGTTCACCTACTTGATTCTACTTTTTGTTTTCTTTTTGACTCATGTAATGTATTGATAAATGTTATAATTTTTTTAGAAAATTGGCCAATCAAGCAACACGTTAAATGTTCAAAGTTCCTCTTTATGCAACTCACAGGTTAGATTCTATTTTTTATATTTAAATTTTCTTATAATAGTATATTTACTTCTAATAGTATTTTATGAATTAGGATGTTGGGACACCGTATTGGGCACAATTGATGAATTATGGTAACAATTTTTTCAAGCTTGACGATACTAACATTACGTGCTGATCAAATTACCCACAGTCTACCCTTTTATCTTCACAAATATCATTTAATCCACAAAGTTCTCAGGTATGCAATTTTTCTTACGTTTGTAATGTAGTTTGTTTCTAATAAAAAATAAATTGATTCCAATATATTCTCTCACACTTATTTATTTTTATTTTTTCAGGGGATGTCATTTGATGAAAGAGAGCTCAATCCCATGGGGGCGAGTCATTCTTAGACAATGAAACCTTTTTACAATTTTTAAGTCATTCACAACCTCCCCTCCTCCCCAGGATTGAAATGTAATATTTTTATTTTATTTTTTACCGTAATTATTAGATAATGGTATTTTTTTTTTTTGAGACATATTTTCAATATTTCAAATGAGTTTTATAGAATTTCGTTTGAGCCTTAGATTTTTTTTTAGTGTTGTTTTGGATGGACATATTGTAATTTTTGGCATAACTTGATAATTGTTTGTTTTAATTATTGATTTGACAAATTATATTGTTTATTCTTGAGGTAGTCATTTTTTTGTCATTTTGCTTCTTGTTTAGATGAATAGGTTCAAATATATATATATATATATATCGAATTGAGTGGCATCATTAATTAATAAAAAGAATATAAATTAAATTGAATGGACATTATTTATTTTGTCACTATGAAATTAAAAACTATATAGTAAAGTGAGACGATGACATCCACGTAGTTAGATTTATATACATTTATTTAATTTTTTTATGACAACACTTGGGTGTATATACATATATATTGATTGTTTGAATAATATAATAAATAATATATATGTCATTAGTAATTGTAAGGATGTTGACTGGTGCAGTGGTAAACGTTGGCATCTTTATTGGACAGGTCGGGAGTTCGAATCTCGGCGCTGCGAAATTAATTTTAAAATCACCTTGGCGCCCAAAACGACGTCATTTTGGGCATGCAGCAATTGCTGTTAAAAAAATTTCACATTCCAAACTAGTGAACTTAATCTAATAGATATGAGTTATTAATTATTTATTTTATTTTAAATATTTATCTTGAATGGATATTAAATTATTTAGATTCTTTTATTTGTTATTTCAATTTTGAGCATTAACAAAATTCAATAATAAAATAAATATGATTTTTAACAAATCTTTTAATTTAAACCCTAGAAAGAAGGATATATATACTTGCTTTGGTCTTAAATATTTTTTTTTACATTTTTTATAATTAAAATAATATAAAAATTTATTAATATTTTATAAATGGGCGAGTGGGGCAGGTTGGGTTGGGCTGGATTATGTTAGAACTCTTTATTTCAAACCCAATCCAAATATCAAATGGGTACAAAATCTTAGCCCGGCTCGCTCTTGTGAGCAAATTAATTATTTCAAAATAAAAAAATATTAGGTTAAGCCGGGTGATTCGATGGGCACCGTACTTAAACTAAAGGAGAGAGGCTATTACCTCAACCCCCAAATAGACGCATATAGTATGCACTTCATATAAAAAATATAATTTTTATTGTACAAAGTATAACTTTTTATCCATCACAAAAAATATAATTTTTATCACAAAAAATATAATTTATTCATAATTTTAATAAATGTTTAGTTTGAGAGAACGTTTGGGTTTAGTACACTCATTTTGGGACCAATTTGGTGATCCAAACTGTTCACTTTGTAAGACTCGTTAAGTAAGATATTCATATAAGAAATTAAAATGATTGAATATCTATAACTATATTTTTGAATCATATTTGTTTTTAAAAAATAAATGACAAATTTAATTTTAAGAATAACTATCTATTTTTTATAATACAAATTTAATTTAAACTTTCCTATAATATATACACTCTCCATTGCATTTGTAAATGCAGTGTGAGCTACGTAATTAATTTTAAAAGTTTGGTAAACATTTTTAAAATTACACATGAGAGTAATGTGAACGGTTTACAAGTTCAAAGTCAACAGTTACCAATTAAAATTTTGATTTGTTCTCTTTAATTTTTTAATTATTGTGGAAAAAGTATTTCTTCACTCTATTATATTTTAGTATTACTTGTGACTAGGTCTAGATCTAGACGATAGGAAACAAGCTGATGACAACTTTGAAATTACAATACTGACCCTAATCTCTGGCTTATACTCTGCAAATACCATTCAGTTTATGGTGTTTTATTGATGTTTATATGCTACATTTTGTTCTCTTTGCTACACATTCTTGAAGGATTCATAGTCTCTTTTCACACACAGTTCACTTTTTAAACACTGTTACTTATTTTAAAAATAAAATTTAACTTAATCTCAATATTAAATAATTTTTTAGAAGTATTCTTTAGCATTTGTCTTATTCTATACACGTATATTTTTTACTATTTGTTTCTTAATTCCAAAATAAAAAATGGTTTACAAATCTAATTTTTTTTTTGTTTATAAAACTCATACAAAATGATATGATAGTAATATTTTTACAAATCACAATGATGGGTGTCTTGATTTAAATTAAAAAAATTTCATAAAATGCCATGTTATATGAAATTTTGGATAAATTACACTAATCTCATTAGAGGTTTAGAAAAAATTATTTGCACTTTATAAGTAAGACATAATTATATTTGTTTTTTTTAAATTTTAATTCACGTAGCACTTAACTTTTTTGGTTATCAATAATTCATTCATTATATAAATTGAAATGCACTTTACAAGTAAGACATAATTACATTTGTTCTTTGAAAATTTGAATTCAGATAGTACTTAATTTTTTTGTTATCAATAATTCATTCATTCATTATCCATATTAATTACATAATAAATGAATAATTAATGAACTATCAAAGTGGCATACTGGGAAATTTTCTCAACAGATGTGGCCAAATCACAACCTGGTTCAACACGGAAGGTTTCTTGACCCACGAGAATTTGACTACCAAAACACGCTATGTTGAAACTTTAAACCAAGTATTTGAAGTCAAAATTCAAATTTCATCTTCTTTTTTTTTTTGATGGGACAAATTTCATCTACTTCGTACTCACACTAATATAAACTCATCTCTCTCCTCAATTCTCTCAAACCTTAAAAGTGATCAAACAAAAGTCTCAAGCACCTTCAAGTAGTGACCTGTTTGGGATTTAGACCACCACCATGGAAGCAATTTCCTCCACCTTCCACCACCGCATCCCGACAGCTCAACGCCCCAGCACCACCACCGACCAACTTCCCAAAATCCATGCCCATCATCAACTAACAATTGACACTCAACCCAATCCCAAGACTTCGAACCGGTCGATCCACCTAGCTGAATCTCTCTCAAACCTCTTCCACCTCCATATTGAACCACCTACCCAAAAACATGTTCACAACTCCATTTGGAACGTCCATTTTGACCATGAGGAGAGGCACAACACTCCAGCTATGTCTCCGAAGGAAGACATATCCGATAAGTGGCGTGAAAAACAAGGTTTTTGTGACTGGGACAATCTTTTGAACCCACTTCACCCTTGGCTACGACGAGAGATTGTCAAGTACGGTGAATTTGCGCAAGCGACTTATGATGCCTTTGACTTTGATTCTTTCTCAGAGTATTGCGGTAGTTGTAGATACAATCATGATAAAATCTTTGACAAGTTAGGGCTTACCAAGCACGGTTACAAGGTGAGCAAGTACATTTATGCCATGTCACATATGGATGTGCCACGGTGGCTGGAGCGGTCAGTCCTAGGTCAAACATGGAGTAAGGACTCCAATTGGATGGGGTTTGTGGCAGTGAGTGATGATGAAGAGACAAGGCGAATAGGGAGGAGGGATATAGTCGTAGCATGGCGTGGCACGGTGGCACCATCTGAGTGGTATGAGGATCTACAGAGGAAGCTAGAGCCAATAGGGGAAGGGGAAGCTAAAGTGGAATATGGGTTTCTAAGCATTTACACATCTAAGAGTGATGCTACTAGGTATAACAAGTCCAGTGCCTCAGTGCAAGTCATGAAAGAAGTGAAAAGACTAGTGAAATTTCACAAGACAAGAGGTGAACAAGTGAGCCTCACAATCACTGGACATAGCTTAGGAGGTGCATTGGCTCTACTCAATGCCTATGAGGCTGCAGCCTCTATCCCTAACCTTCCCATTAGTGTCATATCATTTGGAGCACCTAGAGTTGGCAACATAGCCTTCAGGGACGAAATATATCAAATGGGCGTTAAAACACTACGAGTGGTTGTAAAGCAAGACCTAGTCCCTCGCATGCCGGGGATTGTTTTCAATGAAAGTTTACAAATGCTTGATGATTTCACTGGTACACTAGATTGGGTATACACACATGTTGGAGCAGAATTGAAGTTAGATGCGCGTTCTTCACCTTATCTTAAGCGTGGTGGGTTCAATGTGCTAGGGTTTCATATGCTAGAGACATACCTTCATCTTGTTGATGGATTCATGAGTACAAGCTCGACGTTTCGCTCAAATGCTAGAAGAGATGTTGCCTTGGTAAACAAGGCATGTGACATGATAGTGGATGAGCTTAGGATTCCTCCATGTTGGTACCAAATGGAAAACAAGGGTTTAGTATGCAATGATCATGGAAGGTGGGTTAAACCTAGAAGGGATCCAGAAGATGTACCTTCACCCACCAGAGAAGAAGTGCATGACCATGCAATTGACGAGAGGGAGGAAAGTTACAAAGCACTTGGACCCTTGTTAGTTGTGTAAATTTATAATGAATCTAAGATTTTCTTTTGTATGAGAATCTTATTGAATTTGAAAAAGAAGTTTAATTAATATTTTTATATTTTTAGGATAAAATATATCTGTAAGCCTTTCTTGTGATTTGGTCATCAAAATTTCTAATTGGATAAAATACTCCAATGGTCTTTTTCTTTTTGGATTGTCAAAAGTAAAATATTATTTTATTAATTCAATGAAACAATAGAATGGGACAGTTAAGCCAAAAGTCAAAAAAATCACTCCAATGGTCCTTCAAGTATGTTGTTTTTGTCACTTTGATCCTTTTAAATTTTAATATTTTCAATTTCGTCCTTAAACTTTCTATTTTGTTCTCTTTGGGTTCTGACTATTTATAATCTTGACTCTTTCAATTTTTATTTTTGTATTCTTGCTCCTTAGGTTTTGTTATATTATAAAAGCACCTTTCTAATTCTTCTAGACTATAATTATTTAGATCATTTTTTTCATTTTTATAGTAGTATTAATTCAAGAGGTTCCAGTTCCCATGTAAAGATAAAGATAATTAATAAAAGGTTTTAGGGTTTTTCATAAATAAAGCTCCTTCTTTTTGCTGATCAAAATCCAAAAAAAGAAAAAAAAGAAAGAAAAAGACAAAGATAATTATATGTAGTATTTTCTTGTTTATTTTCTATAAGGCCCATTTTGATTAGGATAAAAATGGTAGAAAGTGAAGGAATGGAATTTTTTGTTTGTTTGTTTGTTTGTTTAGTAAATGGTGAAAATTATAAGAAAGTTGATTTTCTTGTACAACTTATAACAACATGGTAACTAAGTTTCTATTTTCTTGTAAAAAAACATAGAAAAATACAAGAAAGTTTAAATTTGTTATAAAAGTAGTTACGTATAATTAAAATTCTTATTTTCTTGCAAAATTTTCATCATAATTAAATTCATATAAGAAAATATATATATATTTCTTTTTCTTTTCTTTTACTTCACTTTCTACCATTTTCACTTTTCATCATTTATTTCTTTCTAATCAAACAGAGCCTAATACTTAATTGCTTACCTTTGTCTAGTAATAGATGTTGTACTTCATAAATAATTTCTAGTTGATTTTTTAAGGTTTTCGTTGAGTTTTTCTAATGACCTGATTATATTATTATTTTGTTCGATTATTATTTGTAAAGCAGTACTATCGTTATTTAAATTATTTGATTCAATTTCTTCAATATATCTAATTCTTATATATTAATATCGGCAAGACTGAGAAACCAAATTTTGATATCAATTCTAAACACATTCACACAATGCTTTAATAAAAAGGGATTTTGTAATTATGACTATAAGAAAATAGGGCGTTATAGTAATTAATAGAACCTTCGAGTTTATATTTTATTTTTATATTATCTTCAAGACTAAATTGATTTGAATTTAATATTTTAGGAACTTAATTGATAAAATCGAAACTTTAAAGACTTAAATGAAAGGGTGTTAAACTTTAGAGACTATGTAGTTTATCCTTTTTAATTTTGTCAACTTAAAATTTTGATTTTAGTCAAATTGATTGAATTTGAAAATGTCGTGTAAATTACAAATAAAATATAATTCTAATAACTATGAAATTTTTTACTTTTATCAGCAAAATTTTTTATTGACACAGAAAAAAAAGTCCAATTATATGCTAACACTACACCTAAGTTGGTGATAAACCAACCGAAATAAAATAAAATAAACAAAATAAATACAAAGATAACATCCCAAAGAGCAGAGCAAAAACAGAATCAGCAGCCCTTGACCTGTATCAGCCAGAGCAATAGCATCAGAAACAACCAAAGCAAAGCATTCCAAAGAGTGGGTGTTGCTGCTTACCCAGTTTTTTCTTTTTAATGAATTTTCTGTTTATAAATTATTTATATATTCGGTAAATTCTGTTCTGTTTCTAATGTGCAAGAATCTATAGCAAAATGCACCAAAATGCAACTATATCCAGGAAAAAAAATTAAGGACCAAAGCCAATAACCAAGTCTATGGATTCACAAAGTCAAGCTTAATGGTTAATCTAACTTATATTTCAAAACTACATTAACTATGATTATGATATCAATAAAGCAAGCCCAAAAATTTGATTAAAGATTTAGGACTATATATATAAATAACATTGAAGTTAAATCAACATCCAAGGATGCGCTTATTAATTTCGAAAATCACAAACATAACAATGTGGAAGAAATTTTTTCTTCTTAAGTTTATTTACAATTTTCAACATACCGAAGTCTGATCTTCTTGATTGATACTAGGACATCCTTCATGATCATCCTCTCCTCAGGTGAGTCAGCAGAGCATTTCAAAGCCAATTGCATAAGAGATGACACACATTGCACCTTTGCACTGTTGTGTTCAATGTCTTGCGTAAGCAAGTTGGCATCTAGAACTTGAACTATTGCATTAGGCAATGCATCAACTACCCAACACTTCAAACTCAAACCTCCATCGAATCTTGCATCAGTGGGCTTTGTTCTTGTAAATGTTTCCATCAACATGATGCCATAACTGTAAACATCACATTTTGTCGAGACTAATCCTTCTAGTCCATACTCTACATTACATTCATGAAAAGTGACATGGTGAGAAAAGTAAAATAATTTTTCATAAACTTAAATTGAAACTTAACCCTCCACTTGTGTTGATTGAAAACATTTTATGCATTTTTTGGCATTTGGTACAGAACACAGAAGGCAGTACAAACGTTTTCCAAGTCAACAAAAAACAAGGTTATCTGAGCAAAAAAACATTATACAAACTAAAATCTTATCAATGACATCACACTTCCACTACCACACTGCTACCACCATATCACCCCACTACCTCCACTAACACTATCACTAACACATTGGGTTCAAGGTTGGAAAAAAAAAAAAGAGTATATTTCTGTCAAAACAAACAGAGGAATTAAAAATAATGAATGCATAGACATGAAAAGGGATTGTAAGATAGAAGCATCACCTGGTGCAATATATCCAAATGTTGCTATTGTCCTTGTTTGTGCAATGCTCTCCCCCACACCTAACAACTTTGCAATGCCAAAATCACTCACATGTGCAACCATATCATCATCTAGTAACACATTGCTTGGTTTCAAATCACAATGAGCCATAGACACTGAATAACCATGGTGAAGATACTCCAAGGCACAAGCCACACCTATCATTATGTCCAACCTCTGCAATAAATCTAAGAAATAGTTGTGAGAATACAACTATTCTTCTAGAGTGCCATTAGGCATGTACTCAAGCACTAGGGCTTTAAAATCAAGGGTTGAGCAACTGCTAATGACTTTGGTGAGATTTCGATGACGTATGTTGCGCAATATTTCACATTTTGTTTCAAAACTTTTGAACGCACCATCCAGTTCCAATTTGAACACCTTCGTAGCAAAAATTTTCCTACCGGGAAGCATTCCTTTATAAACTGAATTGAAACTCCCTATGCCAAGCAAGTTGCTTTCACTAAACATATCGGTCGCTCTTGAAAGTTCATGGTATGTAATTCTTCCATGGCTTATTCTTGCAAGTAACAAATTAGTTTGAATTGGAATTTTGTTTCTTCTTTGGTGGCGTCTTATAAACACAAATACAAATATCATGGCAAGCAATATGGATGCAATTGGCAACAAAATGTATACAACTAGCAATATTTGTTTTGTTCTCGCTTGATGAGGAGAGCTAGTATGGCATGGTCGGACTTGCAACCGAGGAGCACCACACAATGCGTCATTTGACATGAAAGATTGATATGTGAAGTTTGCGACAGACCCTCTACTTGGAATTTCTCCTGTTAATCTATTGAAAGATACATTGAAGTACATTAGCTGTAAAAGTTCCTCTAACGACTTGGGAATTACACTAGATAGATTGTTATGAGATAGATCACAAAATTCCAAGTCTATCAAACTACCAATTTACTGAGGAATTGGCCCTTGTAACTTGTTATGTGCCAAAGAAAGATTAATCACACCTTGTAGACCTCCAATGGTGCTTGGGATTTGTCTTGAGAATTGGTTCATAGATAGATCAATGCTAATTGCAACCTTTAAATTGCCAAGTTCTAGTGGTAAATATCCACTTAAATAATTCGAGGATAAGTTAAGTTCCAAGAGGTCCTTGAGGCTCCACAAACTTGTGGGTATGCTAGAAATTAATTTGTTTGAATCTAGATCTAGATATCTTAGGGAAGTAATATTCCTTACGCATGCCGATATCAGTCCAGAAAAGTTATTTTTTCCCAAGTACAATGCACCCAGGTTTTTTAGATAGCATAGATTAACCGGTATGAATCCTTGTATTCGGTTGTCATAAAGAGAGAGTATTTGAAGCTTGCTTAAATTTTTGATTGTGATCGGAATGAATCCTGTCAACTCATTGCCATCTATATTTAAGAAAGCTAAATTGCTTAAGTTAGCAATTTCACTGGGAATGCTACCTCTGATTCCACAATAACTAGCATCAATATTGTCCAGAGAATCAGAGAGATTCCCAACAGAAGCTGGAAGGATGCCGTTTAGAGGATTGCTACTGATCACCAATTTTCTTAATTGTCTGCAACTTGACAAGGAAGTGAGGAAGTTCAATTCAAAAGAGGAAGAATATTCACAAGTGAAGTTGTTTCCTGATAGGTAAAGATAGTCTAGGAGTCTTAAGTTGCCGAGTGAGCTTGGAATTGAACCATTAAACCTGTTATTGGAAAGAACTAATATAACTAGTTTAGAAGCATTCGAGATAGAATCAAGAACAATTCCACTGAGTTCATTTTCTCCAAGATGAAGTCGTTCAAGGTTGGGTAGCGAAACACCTATACTTGATGGAAGTTTACTTGAAAACTGATTCTGCGTAAATGCAATAATTTGTAATGTTGAGATGTTGAAGATTGTTGCAGGAATGGGGCCCATTAAGTTATTGTACTGGAGATATAGTTCTTCCATTTTTGGAAGCATACCAATCTCCTCTGGTATTGAACCTGACAAAATTTTAAACAACGATTAAACTTGTAGAAAATGTCATTATGATTACATTGAAAAAGCTAATCAAGAGTGTCGTTGGTGTTTTTCTTTAAAATCCACAAAAGTATTGTATTTAGGATGTGGATGTGCAACTAGATTTGTTGGATTTAATATAGTTCTCATAAATATAGTGATGGGATCAATGGCAGCTCTGGGATTTTTGTTTATTGTCAACAAATTTCCACAAATTATTATTTAAAAATTTTTGTTTTACTCTTATCGATATCCATTTTTAATAATTTAACAAAGACAATTATATTTCTTAAAATCATAAATAAATACTACCACTATGCTTGGTTATCAATTTTCAAAAACACTTTTCAAAAAATTCTACTTTCTTATTTTTCGTGTTTTTTTGTTTTTACTGAATTTTTTTAATATTTTGAGCAATTTTTAAAATTTTTAGACATACCTAACATAAATATACCTAAAAAGTAAAAAAAAAAAAAATTGAAAAAAACCTTTTAAAAATTCACTAAATACCAAAAATATAAAAAAAAATACGAGAATTCAATACATTTTTTGTATTTTTATGTATTTATTAATTTTTAAAAATATTTTTTTACAAATTTTTTACTTTTTAGATATATCTAAGTAAGGTGCATCTAAAAAAGTAAAAAAAATGTTTAAAATTTTAAAAATATTCACTAAAAACAAAAAAAACACGAAAACTAAAAAACTCAGTTTTCAAAAAACTTTATTCAAAAAACTCATCATTGCTATCGACGAGTTTTTGTATTTTGAAATCATTGCATAATTGTCACATTACAATGTTGTCAAATGCCTCATTTTGCAATGTATGTGATTGAACAATTAGTCATCCTTACTTTTCCATTTGATTTTATAATCAAATCTTTATGAATTTCATTGTTAAAAATGTTCTTTACATAATTTTAGTTGTTACTGGTAAAAGTAATGAGATAGATTCTTTGTATCCAATGTCCTCCATCAACTTATTCTAAACATTCTCTCTATCATTTGATCAATCTTTCCTACATTGATTATGGGGCGAGAAAGAGTTTTAAAATAGAAACAATGGAGAGAATAGGATATAGATGATTGAATAATGTTAGGTTTCATGAAATAAATATTATGAAAAGTTTCGTGAAGATTTTTTATTCATTGTTTAGTTTGTGGTGTTTTATTGTAAGTGTAATCCAAAAGTGGAGAATATTCATGAAGCTTTTTATGAATTTTTTTCATGAAGACCAGCGTTACTTTAGATGATTTGTACCTTAAAAGAAGAAGAAGCTAATTTCACAAAAAAAATTTCTTCGACTCTTTGCAATGAGTTCCATTTTTATAACTAAACGGGCTCAATTTTACTCAATAAAGGGCAAATTACATATACACCCCTCGAGGTTTGGTTAAATTACAGATACCCCCTGAGGTTTCGGAAATTACATTCCGTCCCCTGAGGTTTGTATTTTCATAACAATTTACCCCCTGAGGTTTATATTTCATAACAAATTACCCCCTAATTTCTTATGCAAATATAGCATTCAGGGGGGAATTCGTAATTTCTCAAACCTCAGGGGGGTATCTGTAATTTAGCCAAACCTCGAGGGGTGTATATGTAATTTGCCCTACTATTTAAAAAATATAGATATTATATATTTTTTTCCAAGACCTAGTGAGGCCAATTGACACCACAACTTTCCACCCTCGAAGAGATAACTATTTTTTCATTTTGGGAGAGAATTGTCTCCAGTCCAGATTTGGAATGGAGAAGTGTTATTCGGGTCTATCGTGGATCTTGTTTCGATAATCTGAATCGTTCATTTTTTAAGCCTCTACGTGTATATCATTCAAACAAAAAGAAGGTTATTGTAACATATTAATTGTATTGTGTTTGTCTCCGAAAAATGATCAGGAAGTGTGATTTCCTTTTTTTTTTAAAGACAAACACGATAAAATAAATGTTACAATTATTATACTGATATATTTTTGTTTGTGAATGACATACACGAAGGGGTCAAAAAAAGTGAACGATTCGATTTATCATAATGGTATTCGAACATCCCTTCTCTAGTCTAGATTTGGACCGGAGAGAATCCTCTCCCTTTTAGTTTTTAATGGTGGAGAACTCCAATCAACCCACCCAGTCATCCAATAAAAGGTTTTGATATTTTTTTAACTAATTTGTATCCAATCCGTTTTCTACATATCCTTTTCTGGTATTGTTTTTTATTATGGCTTTCTGAATTGAACGTTTTTGAGCAATCTAGATTTAGCTTGTTTGGTTACAAGTCTAAATAGCTCCACTAGTCACTTTTCTAGCTGAAACATGTGATTCTACTGCTTTTTGTCTCTGAACTTTTTTGGTAGTTTTAGAATAAGAATTTTCTATTACCTTCTGTGGTTGTTGAAATGGTGGATTATTTGATTGCTTCAGAAATTCTTGCATTCTGGTCAAGTGGGTGTTCAGGAATATGAGGTTTTTTACGGATTCGGTTTGAATTTCTGTGTCAAACTAATTTGTAATAGCTCTAATAGGTGACCAAAAAAATATTAAGAAATATGTCCAAATGTTGAAAGTATGGTGATTTGGGCACCACCCAGGATGAATTCATCTGCATGTTTCAAATTTTGAACTCTTTTATAAATACGTAACATTGTTGGTTGTATTAAGGATTGAGCATTTTGATGTTCAATGGATTTTAATTCTCTATTCCATGTATATAATGAAAGATTTTCATTATATAAGTTGTTTGGGATGTGCACTTTTTGACTTTTTAATTAAAAAAGTGTAGAAAAAAATATGTATGTTTCGGATAACTTTTTGACATTTTACGAAAAGATGTGTAATAAAATATTGTAGTAAAATCAAAATGACCATTATACCCTTATTGACCTTTTGACTTTTAACTTTTTGACTTTTGGATAGTTGAATTCAAAGGGCAAAATATTAATTTTTCCCTCTAGGCTTCCCCTAAACAGTATGGTTTTTTTTTTTTTTATAACTTTTTGACTTTTTTAGTTTATCCACCACTTGCTATTTCTTACACTTTTTATATTTTTAAAATTTTTTAACATTTTGTCAATTACCAAACGCGTTTGCAGTTTATGTTTTTCTAAAAATAAACAAAAAGAAACAAAAACCAGTTTATAAAATTTTTGTAAATATAAGCTGAAAACGTAAACGTTACCAAACACAATAAATCCCAAATTTTTTATTTTTTCAATTTAAACCCTAATCTTTTGGTTTATTTCAATCTAAACCACCATTTGCCTATTTTTGTTAAGTAAAACTGACAAAAAAATAGTATTTTAGTTATTGAACTCAATATAAGTGTATATAAAATGTCTAAAATATAATTTTCTGTTGAGTTTAATAACTAAAATATAATTTTTTGTGTCAATTTTACTTAACAAAAATAAATAGATGGTTTAGATTGTAAACAAATCAAAAAATTACAGTTTAAATTGACATAATAAAAAACTTAAAGTTTATTTTATTATAAGAGTCAAATTCTATTTTTTTTTCTCTTTCTAAATATTTAATGTGTGCCTTGGGTGGTTGAGAATTTAAACGTGCCATTCATTTTATTTTATTTTATTTTTTTAAAGATGGGAATGTGCCTTTCGTTTTGAATCTTGAATTTAGATAATGTGGTTTTAGTTTAGAGCGACGTAGAATTTTTTGCACTATTTTCTCTTCATATTTTATTTGGAACAAACTTTAATATTTGTTGCATATCTAAGCATTTGTTTTAGGTTTTGTAGATAGATGAAGCAGAGAAATCAATAAATTTGGTGGTAATGATTGACAAGTTAGTTTGAACAACTATGGTTGAAGTTAGTTTGAAAAAATATGTTTGATTAATTCCCCCCCAAAAAAAAAAAAAAAGAACTATGGCTGATTATTTTCAGTTGTTATAAGCAATTAAATGCTGCCTTACTAATAATAGAGTTTTTATTTATTTATTTATTTATTTATTAAGTGTTTTATGGAGAAATTAATTTTGTCTCTTAAAGGGTTTTTTTGTTTTTTTTTTTCAACTTTGACTCTTTATATATATATATATATATTTATATATTTAATTTACTCTAAAAATCAATTTGTATATCATTTGAAGATCCAAAACCCAAACCTCAAAGTCCAAACGAAATCAATAAACCATCGATTAGAAGCGCAGATCAGGAGTCTCTGAGATCAGATTAGGGATCAAAATCAACAAACCACATATTCTATGGAGAAGGAAAATAATATATGAGTTGAGTTCATTGGGAACCAACTAAAATTGTAAGAAAAAAATCATTAACCATTTTACAACCAAATAGACTTGTCTAAAAAATATAATAACATAATTAAATGTATATATATATATATATTTATATATTTAATTTACTCTAAAAATCAATTTGTATACCATTTGAAGATCCAAAACCCAAACCTCAAAGTCCAAACCTGTTAGGTTTTATTCTTGGCAACCCCGTTTGACAAAACTCCTTTCAGTTGTATTTATTTTCGCACTTTTATTTCAGTGAGGCTATGAGTATTTAGATGCGAATCCAACCCAAATTGTGCCTTTCAGAAAAATTTGTGATGCTAATGCTTTCAAGATTGACACTTCGCTAATTATGACGGGGATCGAGCTGCCTGTCCGCTCGAGCGGACATTACCCTGCTCGAGCGGAGAATCCTTGAGTCCAGCAGTTTTGGTCGCCTGTAAAAGTACTGAGATGTGTGATTTCGCACTCGAGCGGGTTCTCTAGCGCTCGAGCGGACCTCTGTTATATCACACGCATATTTTGCTGAATCCGCTCGAGCGGGATGTGGGGCGCTTGAGCGGACCACGCAAACACAATTTTCCGGATTTCAATAAGGATTGGGTTTTCTTCCAAATCTAGGATTACTTTTGGTTCTCTATAAGTAGTTGGTTTTCTCCCAAAACTAGACCACTCCTGAATTCCTCCAGATCTTCTTTTTTGGTTCTTAAGGTTTATAGCTGGGGATATTTTGTTAGTTTTCTTTGATGTTTTATTCAACTCATGGTTTAAAGAGAGTACATCAAAGATTTTGTTTGTTATACACAAGAGAGAGAGAGTTGTTCTTCGATGGATTCTGAAGAATTCGAGCCTGAAGCTTCGGTGGATTCTGGAGTGGCTCATCGTAAAGACAATTCCGAGGTGAAGACGGGGTTGGAAGAGGCACATAGAGGTTGGTTCAATTAGGCGTGGATTCGCTAGGTAATTGAGAGTATACTTGTGTAATTCCTTTAAATCTT